TGCTATGCTTCTGGTGGATGGTGAATGATTTAGTATAAGAAACATAGTGATGGTTACTTGCCAGGGAAAACTGAAAGTAGTTTAACAAGATTTGTTAATTTCACCTTTATGGATTAGGTTTTTAAAATTTGCAAGCACCAAGGCATGTGGATAATGTGCTAGTGTGCTATGTGCCAACTGGTGCGGAACTGTACAGGTTCATACCAATTGGCCTTGGTCTTGCGCAAACCCTGTTTCAGTACTGTGTGGACAAACAACATTTAGAAGCATGGTGTGTGAACACACCACCATTTTTTGTATCCAGTTCTTGCTGATGTATGAAAAAGGATGTCATTGATTAGAAACAATAGTGAACATTGTGCTCAATGATTTTATTTTATTTTGCAAATTTTTGATCTTGTACTTTGATTGTTAGAGACTCAGAATCATTATATGGATTGATTTGATGAAGTAGGATTCATGATTGTTGAAATGTGGTCACCAAAATGATGTCATCAATATTGACTATTTTATTTAATTCATTTTTATGTAATATAAAATAAGTGGATATTGGTTGTAGTGTTAGGGATCAAAGTAAATTTATGATAAGCAAAAGTTACCTTGTTAATATCAACCTCCACTTGGGATCAGCCTTAGTAGCAAGCTCAGTTGTGGAGTTCTAGTTTTATTTTTCAGTGCAGAGTAGAAAGTAGGTCCTTGTCCTCTTGGTGAACTTATAGTAATCCTCCATTTTTTTTATAACCATTAAGAGGAAAAATCAAATCTGATAAAGCATGACACTAAATGGGGAAGACACAAAGAACATAGATGAGACATGCCATTGAATAAAATATTTATATTCCTATAAGAAACCAATAGATTCTTGCATTAGATATTTTTTTTCTAATTCGAGAAACATGCATGATCAGGAATATAAAAGGCTAAACATTATATGCATATGTGAGAAGTTGATAGTCAAATTAGGATACAATGGAAACCTAGGATAATGAAATATCTCAAAAGTTCATATAATAAAGAAAACAACAGATCTGGATGGGTCATTATAATCTTTGACTTAAGCAGACAGGGATACACAAGTCATTCTGGACATGCTAGTTTGTTGGTTCATATGGTCAGAATTCATGTTGATCAACATAATTTTTGTTATTTTGAGAAAAACAACATGATTTTTGCTGTTGTATACACAGAATAATGGAGATGTTGAAGACTTGTTTAATCTTCTTCAACGGTCCTGCCAAACCAATGATACATCCTATTCTTCATCAGTCCTTTCAGACTTCAAACGTTTTGGCATGATAAAGGTGGACTAACTACTGAAAGACAATTGAATAGCTTAATTGGTAAGAACTATGGAAATGATGATAGCGTACAAAATATAATAAAAAGCTGGAGGCCCTCTGCGACCTCACTGGAATATATGTGAAATTATTTGCCAGCAGCTTTAACCTGATGTTATACAAAAAGAGGTTTGACTTTTACTTTGTTTAGTCAATTTCCTGGCTTTAGGCATGAAAGACCACCAATGTAAAATTTCAGACACAAATTTATATGTTTTGCAATCTGTATCAGTCACCTAAGCTCTGGAATTTGTAGAAAATTGTCTGTTATAAAATAAATAATTAAGTTTCATCACTGTATTTTGACATAAAACTAATTCAGGTTATCATACTGAATTAGTCTTGTCTGGATGTGGGCTTTTCAGAAGCCCATAGGACTTGTTCATCTACAAAGTCCTGTGTGCATGAACTTCTTTCTTCTCTTTGTTCTTCATTCAAATAATATCTTTTCAATTGCAGACACTCTTTAGAGTACTCGGACAGGGATGACACAGTTACAGCACATTTGGTGGGAGGAATTGATACCTTCATTAAGTTAGCTCACGGCTGGCCAATATCGTCTTATCCTTTAAAGTTGCTGTCAATTAAAAATCGTGACCACCAGTCCAAAGGCATTTCTCTGAGTTTTCTTTGCAAGGTCAAGGTAAATTTTATTGGTTGGTTATGGGAACAGTCTTGACTTGTTAAATTGTTGGTCATGACCATATTTGTGGTTTGGTTTTAAAATTAGCCAATGACATTCTTTTATTCTTGAGTAACCTTTCATTTCTGAAATAACCTGAACTTTTGCTAGTCTAATCTTTGCTGGTTGGTGTAGGAAAGAGAGTTCATGTGGTACAAACCTGAATTATCCTGAATAAAATTTTAGTCTTTCTGCATTTATTTTCCTTTTTTATAGTTTTCCTCTTTTTTGAATATTTGGAACTTTTAAAGATTTACAATGCTTGTTCAAATGATGTGACTAAATAATTAGATAAAGACTATTGACTGGTTATTTATGTAGAAACATATTTAATTAAAATATAAAACATCAGATTTTAATTTAGGTTTCACATTTGTCTTTGGAAATCACAATTGTGTTATTTGCTTGTAGTAATATTGCATAAACTTCATCACCATATTACTTCAAAATTATTTCTATTGGTAGAGTTAAAAGAGATACAGGGTGGGCTAGTCTGAAGACTGTCCATCTTCTTAGGTAATCTTCGAAAGCTGTCCAAAGGATCTAACGTCTATGGCCAATCTAACTATGAGAAATATCTGGTATGAGCAAGCAAGGCAGCTATCTGGTTCCTTGAGTGATCTATCCCTGCTTTTGTTTGTGACTTTATTATAGTAAGTCTAATTGTATAATTCCTTTTGCTTTCATTTTTACTTTGATGTTTGCAATCCAGGTGGACATAAATGAGGAAACACACTACATTTTGCCATGTCACTTAAAAATTATCAACTCCTTCCATTGTGCGCTCTGTGTTATCATTCTCTGCATCTTTATTATTCTGTTAAAATATTCGACACTTTGTGCTCTTAGATATGCAACCATGCTTTATGTTCATCATTAAGCATCTTCCTCCTCATGTGACTGCTTATGTTGTTCTAGTTCATGTGGAGAACTATGGCACGTTTGATTATTGGATATGGCCCATTAATTTTCTATTTGATACTAGTATCTTAAATGCGCTGTTGAAAAACTGCACTATCTATACGTTGGATGATTTATGCTGTATCTCATTTTGTTTGATAGGAAATGGCAAACTCTTTGGACATGCAATCACGTCTCCATCTGGCACGATTTGTAGATGCAATCGAAGAGATCCTCCTTCAGGAGATGCAATCTGAACTCCATTCGAACAGCATGACCGCCTAAACCTCTACATTTTTCACCTTATTCCTCCAGCAACAGAAAGTTCAGGTCATCAGAAACGAGTGAATCATATTTTATTTCTCTGATGTTTAAGCGTCTATTTGAATAATGTGATGATCTTACGACTCCCCAGGTGTTTAGGAGATTGTTCACATCTCAGCATCAAATCACCTGACGAATGGATTGTTTGTTGGTTTCATTGCATCAATCGTCTGTGGATGTTGAAGTAAATTGGATATACTTTTGTCACATGACTTTTGTCAGATTCTATGGAAAATCTGAACTCATTAAGACAATCACTACGGCTGCTGCATCTTCCTCTTAGTTATCTCCAGCCGGGGATTGATTCATTGTGCAAATAGATGACTCCATTTGCACACCTAAGGACTTGATAGATTGGTATCTATCCCCTGTTATCATCATCAAATTGCCCCACTGCAGCCGGTGTTTGACTGTCCTATGTCTGGTTCGAATATTTCTCGTCTTTTTTCCAAATCTTCCTTTCCCTCCTATTTCCATTGATCTCTCAGTAGTTAACATGACCTTAATCTACCGACAATTTATTTGTTTATGAAATTAGTTGATTCAGCAAGAAGACAGCCTAGCCTCCTACTACACACACATTAGTTGCCTTAGATTTTTAGCCTCGTAAGATAAAATATTCTTTATTTCTCCGTAAAGAAGTTTTCTTTATTTATCGTGCTTGTCATTGTTTTTGGTGGAATATATCTTCTTAAAACAAAGCACCACCCTCTGTTTCCCACTCCAGTGATAGAAGATGGTGGAGGTTCCTCCATCCCGGAATCTAAGTCGCGTAGCTTATGGTGGAGGAGCATCTTCCTAATGTGATACCAAATTTATGCATATATTTGTATATGTATGAAATCAGTGTTTTTCGTATTTATTTTACTAAATCTAAATTTAACATTTGTTTCCTCGAATACATATGAACTATGTGTGTATGTATGTACATAATATATGTGAAGTGATCGTTTGGGCAGTCATTGGAACTTAAATTGACACTAAAAGTGCCCTTCGAATAGTGATTATGGTGACAACTAAGACATTTTACATTATCTAAATCTGGTAAAATTGATTTAAATCAATTTAGATCAATTTTACCATGAGGGATATATGTGAATGGGATCTCAATATTTGGAGAACGATATATGTTTTGTAAAGAGTTTCCATGAACTAATACATTATTATTTATGAACTTTGTGTTGATGGATGTATAAAATTTTCTAAAGAATTTTGATGAGGATTATTTTATAGTTTTATAAGCACATGTAATCATAATAACACAAAGGATATCAAAAAGATTTAGATGTCAAATCAATGTCACAAGTCCAACGGCGATTACAATTTATGATATTTTTAGAATTTGAGGCATTATTATTATTATTATTATTATTATTATTATTATTATTATGTTTTATACACTAATAGTTATAAATAAATTAAGAATATCCTAATACGACTAGTTTAATATACTTAGTTAACTTATCCGATCAATTATATCGTATATTTCTCTGCATCGAAATCATTCATGTCACACCTAAGGATTCAGACTATGTCCTAACCACCGTTCAAGTACAACAATGGCTAACTGGCAGCTCCACATCTCCTTCAACATTGTTTTTGAGTATTAAAGGGACCATTTAGTAAGTAAGTGCAAATGCATGTGAAAATAACAGCCGAAGAAAACAACTTTTGGTGCACATGGAGATGCCACCGTTCTTGTATGAGTGAGACCCCACATGAAATATGATGGCAAGGCCACACCATGATTTCCCTGTTTCCTCACTCTCACTCTCTCTCTCTCTCTCTCTCTCTCTCCAAAACTTCTTTCACAATTGATTCTTTGACAGCAACTGTTGCTTTACATTTCATCAAGCTTCCACATTGCTTTGTTTCTTTATAACTTTATGTTTGTGGTTTCTGTGGTTCATCAGCTGTCTAACTTGTCATCTTTAAGCCCACAAGGATCCAGAATTAGCCATGAGTCTCCATATGACAATTGGTTCAAAGGTCGAGAAGCTCTCGTCTCCAGGGACTCTGATGATGAAGAACAAGGATAAGTCTCTCAGTGTGGAAGACAAAGTTGAAGGTTTGGATTCTGAGAAAAAGCAGGTGGATTTTGGTACGATCTTTCTTTTAGTTTCTGTGTTTTATTTGGTTCATCTTCTAAATAGATTTTATCTTGCCAGTCTCCTGTTACTCCAAAATTATATCCCTTCATGTAATTTATAGAAGAAAAAAAATCTAGCATTGGATCCTCAAGCGAAGGGAGAAGATGGACGTGAGTTTTGCTTAATCTCAGTGTTTCATCATGACTCTTAAATTAGTGAAACTTTAGAACAGGAATGCATTTTATCAGCAATTTCTATTATTTTTGAGAAATTTGGCAGTTTTATGAGTTCATGAGTCCAGAGATGAAGATCATAATTTCTTGTGGTTGATGTTCTATATTGCATTGATCATCGATATGTTTAACCTTCATGCATAACGTTATCGCAATTATCTAAGTTGATAGAGATGAAGATCTACCATATTTGTGATGTCTGATGAACCCTGCACACACAATCTGGAGTTGTGTGCATGATGATGAGAACAAAAGATACAATAAATTAGTCATTTTTTAATATATACATAAAATCTCATATTTAAGCAGTCAGTTTCTTATGAAAGAGCATCATCCCTTTACTTTGAAAGACATCTTACTAATATTTATGTAAATTCTTATGAGAGAGCATACAATTGCTTTTCTAGATAGATAGCATTGTGTTTCAGATGATCTTTCCTGTTACTTTTAGCCTAAAAAATAATCCAATGGAGTCAGGCAATTATGTTGGACCAAATTAAAGATGGAAGGCATCAAAAATCCTCTGAGCATCACACCTTAAACTGTACCTACTGAGCAAATTCTTGAAGAGGAAAGCAGAGAAAACATATTTCAGGGTTGGATGCTAGTTGGACAGGACACCCTATAGGATGAAGTTTTGTTTGTTAATTTTCAGAACAAATTATGTATTTTGCACATCACTAATTTCTTTTAAATTGATCGATAATGACTCAGATTAAGATATCAGTAGCTACCAAGAATGTGTTTTACTTCTTTTTTTTTCCAAAAGATATCGGATGAATGACTGAATTTTAGCTTTTTATACTTCCCTAAATTATGTCAAAGCCTTGCAGGAAGAAACAGCACAAGAAGTCTTCCCTAAATTATGATCAATAATGTTGGTTTTTTTTTTTTTTGGCATTTAGTTTTTGGGTATTAAGAAGGATTATGATAAGTAATTTAAGATGAAGGTAGCATTCGATCCCAAGTCCTTGCCATCAACAGTCAATCTCTGTATCAACCTACCATTCTAAAGTTGTTAGAACTGTTTCATTTCAAAGTGTGTTTGATGCTCTTTCCTTTTTGACGCGTAGCTGTGACTGTTGCAATCATCAGTCGTTTCATCCTAGTTATACATTTCATCTGTTTCTCATAATTTGTCATTGAAATCCTCAGTAGTACATTATGTTTGCCCGGAATTATGTGTATTTTTCTCAACTGCAGTTTTTGTATCATCCATTTGCATTCTCCAGTTTCATAGATCGTATTTAATGTTTTAGAGTACCGAGATTTTCAGAAATTGCTGTTTCAATCTTATGTAAGGGTCTATGATCTTCATCTGACTCTATTGTCAGAGGATTAGACAAATTTTGATCAGTAAATAGTATATGATGGACTCAATTTGGCGACTAGATAATACTCGATAGCTTAACCTATTAGGTTGGTTATAAGCCGCTCTGCATATAAAGCCGAAAATTTACTATTTCATTCAATGCAGAAGTTATTTTCTCTAGAAAGACACAAAAGAAAGGTAGTATCTCGATTTATTAATTTTAGTATCAGAATTAGTTATCGATCCGTGTCGCAAAGTCGAGCCGACTTGGAGAACATTATTGAAGTCATCATGACACGAGGATTGAATCTTTGATGATGTGCAAGAGCATGCAAAACTAGGGCCGAGAGCATGTGGGACGGGGTAATTTTGATGCTCAAAGCAGTTGAGTTCTTATACCGAGTATCGAAGATAAAGTTTTGGATACTTCACCATATGCTTAGATGTTCTTATTTTCAGACTGGTAAGAGGAATATTCTGACTGACTGGGTTCTATTGCTCAAAATATTGGCTAAATTGTTGGATTGACAAGATTTATGCTCCTCCAACATTCTTTAGATCAGTAGTATGTACAGTGACAAACTAGTTCGGCTAAAGAACAAACTTAGTTATTCTACATAAGCAGCAGCAACTCTCAAATGCAGTTTTCTTTTACCTTCAAATATGCATCCTGTAGGACATGTAAATCCAGATCACAGAAAAAGTGGCACTCCGACATTGCATTTTAGCTAAGCTTTTGCTAAACTAACTTGTCTTGAAGTTAACATCCATCATTAGATTGTTTCGTATGCCAATTTCTTTGGCATCATTCCTAGAAGCTAAAAGGTGCATCAAATATATTCACTTACACTGGGGATTATTCACCAGCAACAATAAAAGTATTTTTATGCTAAATTTTCATTTTTCAACAGTGAAAACAAGTGCTTATCTTTGAAAAGAAATGTTATTCTACCATCCTAACTGGTTGATTAACTTGTATTATGCTAATAGCACGCTTGACCTAATTGGCTATGGAGTGAATGGTGTATTGTGATTTGCAGGAAGTAAAGAGGAGACCTTCTTTGACTCACAGGGATGGTTAGATTCTGATAGTGAAGATGATTTTGTCAGTGTTAATGGAGGTATTTTTCAGTGGCTCAATCAAAACTAAAAATCTAAATCATCTCAAGCTTGCATCTTCTGCAATAAATTTTTATTTTTCAGTGGCTCAACCAAAACTACAAATCTAAATCATCTCATGCTTGCATCTTCTGCAATAAATTTTTATTTTTCAGTGGCTCAACCAAAACTACAAATCTAAATCATCTCATGCTTGCATCTTCTGCAATAAATTTTTATTTTTCAGTGGCTATTTATTTTTTTCTTCTTCTTTTGGTTCAGACTCGACTCCAAACTATCAGATCAACAATAATAGGACACCCCAAGTGAACAAAGTATTCTCTGCTGCTATGTTTCCAGATACCACCACATCCCAGATTTCTTCAGCTGATCCAAAAAGGAAACTTGCCCAACTCCTTCAGGAAAACCAAGTCGAAGTGGCTGGTAAGCAAAATGCTGCTTGTGGGATGAATGAAAGTGACGGAAAGCCAGAATTATATGAGACTGATGCCAGCTTACACCTCAGAATTCCTCATGAGACTTCCTCTGTCGCTGATGATGGGACTCCAAGTAAAGATTCGAAACAGCAGAAAGAGAAGAAGATGAAGGCCAAGAAGAGCTGCTTGCCGCGCTTGTGCAGCATTAGGTTCAAAGAGAGAAGGAAGCAGAAGACGAGCCCTGTTCACTGAAGCGGCTGTTGTTGCTACCACCAACCACAGGCAATCCATTTTGTTCATATTGATGAATCAAAGCTTGTATGAATGACACATAGTAGAAAATGCAACTTTTGTTCTTCGCGGAGAATCTGTGTTACGATTGCTGCTTTAGATCGGGTTTGGGTTGGATTCTATCAAGAGAAGAAATTTCTTTTCCTATTGATGCTTAGATGAAGTTCCAAGGTTGGATTCTATCATTTATATTTTGCTTGATGACAACCACACACTGTCAGAAGAAGCCAAGCGATCGGCACAAGGATGGATTTGTTGTGGTGAGCAATGGTTTGGCAATTTCGGAGATCTAATCGAAATACCATCAACAATAATTGTCCATATAAAACTGCATGCTGAATATGTTTTTTTGTCTTCAAAATGGCAGCATTAGCAACAGCGAAGTGAAAAATGATGGAGGAACACTAGAAAAGAAAAAAAGGAAGAGATCCGAGCTCATCGACACTGATGCAGGACAACAAAAAGAAGCTCTCATCTCATCATCATCACACATATACATCTCCACCTTTCATAAATAGTCGTAAGATTACACAATTAAGCTAACAACAATGATTAGTGACATATCAAAAGAAAGAAATCTAGCTGTGAATAGCAACAATCAAATCAAGTCAATCTAATGTACTAACTTCCACCGCAAGTCAACAACAAATCACAAGTAAAATGATCGAGAAACTCCTGCAACTTCGTAGACGGATGGGATGGGATGGGATGGTCAATATAATATATAGCTCAACAAAAAATCCTTTTATGCTTCGATCGTCACACTGCACAAGCAAACGCCCCCCCAAGGCTTAAACGAAGAAATCTGCCATTCTGATCCTACTGGAGCATCCGGATCATACGACAGTGTACGATACCCTGGTTCGTTCTTGACAGAGAAAAGCAACAATTTCCCACCAAATATGCCGAAGCAAAACCCGATCGCAGAGCTCCCAGAAACTGGAACCGGGACATCGTGCCATGAATTTTCGACCGGATCAAATATAGACAGCTTCCGCTGATTTCTCCACCCCATACAAAAGAGTTTCTTCCCTAGCATGGCATGGGTAGTGACCATCACGCAACCAATCTTCATGCCATGCCATGAGTGGCGTTGCGGGCTGTACACATCCACAAACCTGGAATTGCCGATCGTGAAGCTAGAGCGGCCACCCATGACGTAAAGCAAACCATCAAAGCTGCAAGCGAAGCAACCCCACCTCGGGCGGCGAAGGCTTTCGATTAAGGTCCACTGATTTTTGTCTGGGTCGTAAACTTCGACGCTAGATAAGTTTTCGCCATTGGGTCCCAACCCCCCGACAGCGTATATTAGACCATTGACCACATCACAGGCGAAGTCATGGCGAGCGACGCTCATCTTCGCTAGCAAACTCCATCTGCAACAAAAATAGAGCAAAAATTCGATCATGTTTCTCCCATAAAATAAAATATTAATATATTCCCACAACATTCTCATCCTTCTTCTTCGGTACTAAATTTCCTACTCCCGGGGAAGACAATGGTCACATCCTTTTCGTTCCTCGGTCAAAATCCAATTTTCTACGTACTTTGCAGTGAATTTTCAATAATATCCAAAATGACTCACAGACAAGTAAAACTAAAACAAGTTACAGAAAAAAGACAATAATATATATATTGTGGACTTGCAAGTTTCAATTACTACAAGTGAAAGATAGATAGATAGATAGGACAAAACTGCGAACAGGAAATTAATAATCAATTGTAGGAAGAAAGGAAATCATCATCATCATCATCAGCACAAGTACCAAAAACACAAACTATATTTGAAGTAACAGAATGAAGAGAAGTGAATAAATATAGTAGAGTGAAGAAGACTTGAAACCATATCAATGGATGCACAGATATGCTCCTTGGAACATGAACAATCAGAAATAAACTCAAGTTGTAACTTTGACTGACTACAGAAAATTTAGGGTCCAAAGGAGTTCGATACACAACACGCAAAAAAAAAAAAACAAAACATTTCATGATTTTGTTCTAATATTAGAGACCAAGATGCGGAGAAAGTATGTAATCTGACAAAAAAAAGTTATGCCGAGTGAGAGTACCTGTTAAGACGAGAATCATACTGATAAACATCATTTGAGACACATTTGGTTCCAGCATCGACAACATATCCACCGACGATAATGAGCTTCGCATCCAGAACTGCAACGCCAAACCCAGCCTTCGCAGGGCCAGGCATCGGCAGGAGCACCTTGAGTTTCTCTCCTGAGCCTCCCCAGACCTCCCAATGGCTCTCTCTCCCTTGTGCATCCCCGGTTAAGATGAAAAGCCACTCTTCGACCTGCTTGGCATCCTTCCTCACGGTAAGGAACTCCTTGCTTTGGATAAATGACCTCCATGTCTTGCAGACTGCACCCATAACGGGAATGTCACACCGAGGAACAAGTGCAAGGCAGGTCTTTGCCACATCGTCGGGCAACCCAGGGATGATGGGGTGCATTTGCATTTGCATTTGCGTGATAAGACCATCTGCAACTTTTTGTAGAGTTGCTATGCTATTTTGCATCGGAATGTTGAGTTGCATCTCTGAATCAACAAATTGTCTTCTGAACCCAAGGAGGCCAGGCACAGCTAAAGTTGGCATTTTGCAATGACCCAAGATAGATAGATAGATATATATAAGCAGCAAATCTGCCTTTTCAGTTTATTCAACGATAGCCGTCGCCACTCAAGGGAATTGCAAAGGTATGAATAATGGGGAGGATTCAAACAGTGCAAGCGTGAGCTCTTCAATGGTTTCTGGGCTGTTTCAGAGTTCTTCAAACATGGCACCCAAATCTATGTAGATTTAGAATGGAAAGATTAAGGCTCTTAAATAAATCAAGTGCCAGAAAAGAAGATGTTCAAAAAGGACAGATACATAAGAAATATATCTACACACCCTTACCTTAAGAGATCCCCAAAAAAATACATATATACATAAAAGGAAGAACGAACATGTATCAAAGGTCATAGAAGTTCAACAATCTTTAATTCCCAGAAACCTTTATTTTTCGGATGTAAAATTAACTGATCATGGAAAATAGTTACATGCATTCAAAATATTTAAAGAATGAAAATCATATATATATATATATATATATATTCCCAATAGCAATATAGACAAAGGCGAGTTTCCACAAGCTTGGAATACAGAGAAGTTGGGCGACGATGAAATTGTACGCAAAAACATACTAAAATCTGGAAGTCAAAATGCCTAAGAATTGAGCATTTCTATTGTCAATGCACTTTGAAGCTCATAAAAAACATAAAGGCTAAAGCTCCAGTTTTGTTTCGTCAGGCTTAAACATATGATGCATTCCAATAAAGCGGGCCGAATGTTAAATTAAGAGGTAAAGATAGCAAGCAAAACAAGTGAAAGAGAAGTTTACACATCGGAAACATTTCTCTTCAGCAAACGATGATATAGGAACCCTTATTATCGATTCACATCACATTCAGTACACACCCCCTGAATACACGACTGGACAAGACAAAACGTTCGAAATTCTTCCACCGAGTTGACAGACCAATGAAACAAAGAAGAAAAAGAAAAGCTTGGCTACAGCAAAGGAGAATTTCAGCCAAAAATCCAACTTTTAGAGCTCCAACCAATGTCAGAAGAGTTATTCTAACTAAAACCTAAAGAAGGTGGTGAAATTACCCTAATTTCCCGAGAGCTTCCGAGAGACACCAACGCTGCTTTAGGAGTGCGACATGCATCTGCTTGTGCGTGTATATATATCTATGTAAGAGAGAGAGAGAGAGAGAGAGAGGATAATGCTGCCAGCCAAGAAGCTCGTCACTGACCATTTCTGGCCCCAAAATAGGCGAAAATTCTTATCAGCAACTGAAAATAATTATTACAGGCCAACTATTAATATATTGGTAGAATAAAAAAATTAATGACGGTTAAAGCCAGCCATAATATAGTTCAAAATTAAAATTAAAATAAGACATCTATTTCAAAAAATAATAAAAAAAATTTAAATGAACAGTGCTAACAAATCATAGAAAATTTAATATAATGATAGTTGTACAATAAAAATCAGACTACAGTTGTTATTTTTGAAACAAAACTTTTTATTTTACTTCGATGCATATATATATATATATATATGTATATATATATATGTATATATATATATATATATGTATGTACGTATGTATGTGTATATATATACATATATATATATGTATATATATATATATGTATATGTATATATATATGTAAAGAAATAAGTTGTATTGTTCCAATTCTTTAGGATCGACTATTAAAAACGAGAAAGGAAATGATTATTGATTGATGCACTAGATCACGTTGAATTTGATTTGCTTTGATGGAATAATAAATGAATAAATTAAATAATAAATTTTAAAAATCGATAACAATATTCTATTTATCAACACATTTGTGAGACCAGGAAAGCTGTGATTTCGCTGATGTGGGTGATTGTGATAAGGAATGCTCTCATTAGGTTTCTTAATTAGTGATATATATATATATATATATATATATATATATATATATATATATATATATATATATATTACGCATATAAAAAAAAAACTAATCTTGATAAGCACGAACAGTAACGCATCACACATTAAGATCAGCACGAATATGGAAGTAAATAAATGCGCTGACGTGGCTGTGATCAGGATGGTCAGAGATGGAGTGCTCCGTTTCCCCCTTCAAGTATTGAAGATAAGTACGGCCAGGAGGGAAGCTTCATGGATGGATAGGAGGACGACATGGTTATCATTTCCATGTCATCATCCAAAGAGGTGGAAGAATCGAATGTTTTTTTTATCAGACAATGTAAGGTCAACCTACTTTCAGTATTAATAAATAGATAATAAATTTTGATTGTACCAGACGATTTTGCATGGTGATTTCTAAATGTTATAGGATTTGGAGAGTCGAGCTTGATCGCAATAGATTATCTTTTAATTTATTCTTTTCATTCAAACCCATTACATGCGATGCATAATTAAGGACTCCCAACTCCTGACCTCTTGATTGCCAAAACCATGCATCTTAAGACATGATTGTAACGTTGTTAAAGTAATATATTTTTCTTATTTTTTTATTTATTAAAAAAGCAACAACATTATCGGAGAAATTTTCACACGATTGCTCCTTTGTGTAGTTTGACAACATATACAATGTAAATAGCAAAGGAAAGCTAATCACGATGGGTTTGTGACACTTGGATGTCTCTCAAGAGCAACACAAATCTGTCTCCTGACACTCAATGATTAACATTCTCACCTATTGTTTTTGGTTTATAATCTGTGCTGAGTCTGTATTCATGTTTCATGTTGTATGCGCAAGCCAACGATTCGGTGATACTTTTTGTAATTTTCTCTTATGCAGATATGTGAAAAATAAAAGGACATGGGAATATGTTTCATTTTCAAGCTGTGTAGGCTTAGTATATTTAATATGCTTTTACTTTCTTTCTTTTTTTCCGATATCTATATTTTTTTATTTTGATCAGATATTTTCAGTGCATATATATATATATATATATATATATATATATATATATATATATATATATATATATATATATATTGATTATTTGATTTGGATGTTGATTCGGAATCAATTGATGTTCTATTCTATGTTGTCTTAATACGAAATAATGTTGGATAAAAATATTACAAGATTGATTCTTACAAAACTACGTAGAACTATATAGAGTATCCCAACAAAACTCTTCTAAAGTTTAAATCAGTTTTTGATTTGATGTATCTAACTAAATATCAAGTCAAGTCTATAAGACTAAAATGTATTAGGAAAGAGTCCAATCCAAAAAATATGCCTGAGGGATATTTTATGATGAGGTTTAGGATAATTATGCCTAATTTTCTAGTTTTCTACTAAGTGTTTGAATCTCGAATTTTGATGATGAAACCAATTGATAGTGTTTATGATTTGATCTATGTTTTGAGTGACACAGGAAGTTTCGATCAGGAAAAGACAATTGAAACAGGAAGAATCATGTTGGGCCAGAGAAAAATATGTCAGAAGATTAGACGTCGAGCTGGAGGATCGGTCGACGTATTAGTAGAAGGCTTCATATCATGAATTCGGGCATCGAGCCAAAGGAGCAAATATTGCGCAAAGGAGATTGAAATTGCGGAGATCAACATGGCAATTGGGCAAAAGGTCACAAAAGATGACGATACATCGAATGATTGGACGAAGCGTCGATGAACCAATGATATGCGGATTCATCCTTTGTAATCATTTGTCTAAGATCTAAGTAGTTTAGGAGGCTAATTGAGTTAGCTTTTAGTGTAATCATGCTAACTTAATTAGGGACCAATTGAGTCTTAATTGGGACTGATTTGGGCTTATTAGGAGGCTCATTCAATGACTCAAAAGGTGGGTCAAGTGGTGGAACTATATGTGAGTTGGAAAACTCAAAAAACTCGATCTCCAAGGTTGTCAAGCAATGGTACCGCCCATACACAATCTCCCAAGCGATAGTACCGTTAGATTGGGCGATGGTACCGTCTAGTGTCAGGTTGCAAGCGGTGGTACTGCCCGTACCTAAAAATCTCGGGGATTTAAATTTTGATTCGAAGTTTTGAAGTCATTTGGGGTCTATAAATATCTCAGTTATTCCTACATAGAGTAACAAGCAAGGTGATTAAAAACTCTATGTTTCTAAAGTTGAAAACCCTTGTAAAGTGTAGAGTCCCTCCTTCTAAAGTTTAGAGACTATTCTAAGGGAGAGTGTGAGGAAAGCTTTGTAAAAATGGGTTATAAATGTTCTCTCTTGAACCTGTCAAAAGGAGAATCGAGTTATAAGAGTAGTTAATATTCGTTTATTGAAGGAAGATCGTTAATGGATACCAGTGGCCTTGATGGAAGAGGAATCGGTGGAGTGGATGTAGGTCACGATGGCCGAACCACTATAAAATGGTTTGTATTTCTGTTTTATTGTTTATCTTTGTTGTAAACCGCTTTACTTCTTCATTATTTTTTTTGCACACCCTTCCGTATGCTTTCAAAGTTAATATCTTTCTGAAACGAGTTTATTCAGAATGAAAGATTTTAGAATTGACGTTTTTACAATTGCACTAATTCAGTCTCCCTCTTAGTATCGACTCGTTCCTAACATCTATCATTGTTAGATGTCATCATATATAATGACGAATTCGAAGAGCGTGACAAAATTATAAATAGGATCATAATATTCAAGGATAATAATTTATTAATCACGTGATAGTGAGGTATGGATGAAGTAGAAATAAAAATATCAACCAATAAGGTGAAATCCAATCTAGCTTTTATTCCAAACTAGCGATAATCAAACTCTCATCCAAAACGAATGTCTTCAAATCAACCATAAGCAAGTAGTCCGACGTTTAGGTGGAACATTGACCCAATCAAACCTCAATCACGATCGACCCAATCAAGCCTCCGGTCACTATAAGTTCGATCATAAATTTAGTATAAAATATTTTTTTAAAAAATAAATTATACACATATAAAAGTGATAATTCTATAATAAAATTAGATTAAAATATTTACAATAAAAATAGCTGTGAAGCGTCACTTTTTGTCATAGAATTGACAAAACAAAATCAGTACATGATTTATTATAATAAAAGAAAAAAAATTGTGAAGGAAAGTGAAGAGAATCCATGTGAGTGACATCATTCAATCTCAATCCAGTTTTTCTCTATTTAAAATCTGTCCTTAATTCTTTCAATCGAATGCTAGCTGATCAAATCTATTTAGATCTGATCACCCGAATCACAATCTGACCCAAATTAGGGGGTTAGGTTCAACCCTGGTCAAAAATCTCAACTCGAGGACTGGATTTGGTTCGAAGCTTCGGCCTTCTGCAAGTTCCATCAAAAAGAGGAAAAAGAACGGAAAGCAATTGCGAAGGGAGGAGCAAGGAGAGCTCGGCTCTCTTCTCTCTTCTCTCTTCCCTCTTCCCTCGTCTCTTCCATCTAAGCCCTAATTCCCAATAGCGGTTCTCCCTCCACCAGGAATCCGTCGGAAATCGACGTCCTCTCTCCGCCAAAGAGTGAGATGTTTGTCCCCATTTTGGTGTAATCTCGGTCTCTCTACTCAGATTCGATTTAAAGGCTCTTATTTTCACGTTCGGATATGTTACTAGGATCTTGAGGCCTGGAATCGGTGTTTCTTTTGATGGCGTCCAACAGCAACAACCAGCCGCGCGCCGTCGGCGGATCGCCGTCTCTCGCCAACTCGGGAATGGGCTTGCCAGCGTCAGCTAACCCGCCGTCCCATCTCCGTCCCCCGCCGGCGCCTGGTCCATCTCCTTTCCAGGGTCTCTTTCACTCGCAAACGCAATCCCAAGCCCAGCCGCAGGTCCACTCCCCCTTCCAGATCCATATGGGTTCTCAGTCCCATCTCGGTCCCCTTGGGTCGTCATCCCCCTCCTTCTCGACCCCCGGCGCCAAGCGGCCCCCTCAGAAGCCCCCAGCTAGGCCCCCGGTCCCCATCTCTGCTGCCGGCAGCCCAAGCATCAAGACCGCTGATATAACTGCCGCTGCCCGGAGAAAGAAGCGCAAGCTTCCAGAGAAGCAGCTGCCTGACCGAGTTGCAGCCCTCTTACCTGAGTCCGCCCTCTACACTCAGTTGCTCGAGTTTGAAGCGCGGGTTGATGCGGCCCTCGCAAGGAAGAAGATCGACATACAAGAAGCTCTGAAAAGCCCTCCTTCCATGCAGAGAACCCTTAGGATTTATGTCTTCAATACCTTCGCCAACCAAACACGCACTATTCCTGAGCCCAAGAATGCAGAGCCTCCCTCATGGTCTCTGAAGATTGTTGGGAGGATCTTGGAGGACGGTGTTGACCCCGATCCTGTTGGTGGGCTGCCTAAGCCCAACCCCATATACCCGAAGTTCTCATCATTCTTTAAAAGGGTTACGATCGCGTTGGACCCATCTCTGTACCCAGAGAACCCAACGATCTTGTGGGAGCAAGCACGATTGCCAGCAGCACATGAAGGCTTTGAGATCAAGCGGATGGGAGATAAGGAGTTCACTGCTAGTATAAGGCTTGAGATGAATTATAATCCTGAAAAGTTCAGATTATCACCTCCACTGATAGAGGTGCTTGGAATAGAGGTTGATACACGAGCTAGAATTATAGCTGGGATATGGCAGTATGTGAAGGCAAAGAAATTGCAGAACCCTACTGATCCCTCGTATTTTGCTTGTGATCCACCTTTGAGGAAGGTATTTGGAGAAGACAAGATGAAGTTTGCTATGGTGTCACAGAAGATCTCACCACATCTATCTCCTCCACAACCCATTCATTTGGAGCATAAGATTAGGCTTTCAGGAAATGGTGCCGTGGGCAATGCTTGCTATGATGTGCTAGTTGATGTTCCATTTCCTCTGCAGAAGGAAATGTCAGTCTTCCTTGCTAACACAGAGAAACACAGAGATATCGAGGCTTGTGAGGAAGTGATATGTGCTTCCATTAAGAAGATTCATGAGCACCGGAGGAGAAGGGCTTTCTTTCTTGGCTTCAGTCAGTCTCCTGTGGAGTTTATAAATGCTTTGATTGCTTCACAGGGTAGGGACTTAAAACTTATAGCGGGTGAAGCAAACCGAAACGCTGAGAGGGAACGCCGTTCTGACTTCTATAACCAACCATGGTATGACTTCTCCTTTGTGTGAACTTATTTTAACTTATCCCAGATCTATCTTCTCATATATTCTGACTTTGTATTATTCTACTGGTGAAAATATAACAGGGTTGAAGATGCTGTCATACGCTATCTCAACCGCAAACCTGCAACCGGTAATGATGCTCCTGGTAGCACATGAATGCAAGACTGACTCATTGCTCTCAATATTTGCCATACATTTCTAGACATGGACAGGGTTGTATTTTGTAGGTTTTCTGTCTGTTGTCTTTTTCAAGTTCCTGGACACGGAAAGGAATTTCTATAATGATCATTTTAGTTTGATAGCAAAAATTCAATTTAACTAATGCTGAGTTGAATTGTTATGTAGTCTAACACTTCTGTCCTTTTTTATTGTCTTGGAATTCCATACTAAACTAGACAGTTGAGACCACATTAATATGATCTACATGTCTGCTATATATGGCATACAGCCAAGTACTTATTTTTTTCTCATGACCCGAGGCTTTAATAAAATAAAGAAGAGTTGAATACAAAATTTACCATCCTAGTATATCAGTTATGATTTTCCAAGCCAGTGGCTGTCTAATGAGTTGCACCATTGACACTTTGTCATGCAACAGGAACTCAACAACCTAAGTAGCTCTTTGTGTCTCATGACTAATCATTGATATATCTGAGATGAACTTAATGTGCAACATATACTTGCATAGTACTGGAGTAGTAAAAATGACACTAGGTCATTCCATCGTCATTTAGTCATATGATGTACAATTGAATGCATTGTAATTAATCTAATCGAAAATTTATTCTGTTTCTTGGTTAACTATTTTAAATAATTGCATGGTTTTTGTACATGGGATGATGGTATCTAATCTGTCCAAAATTTATTACATGGTCTTTGTACATGAATCATTGGTTGATATCATATCTTATGACAATCATCACACCTTATACTTATCTATTAGTCCTAATCCTCCTCATAGCTTTGATGCTCATAACAGGTTATATTGTTTTTATCTTTTTGTAGAAGCACTGTGTCAGGAATAGTCTCGAATGTATTATGTGCCCCTTTTTCCATTATTGGACCATGGTTGGTTTGAGGTAACAATGGGAAACTTGTAGTGCTGATAACTATAAACTAGGAACTAAAGAATGAACAGTTCATCTTTTGAACAGAAGAGCGAAAGGCTCAAGGGTACTAGGAAACTTGCATCTGTTAACTACTTTGGTATTTGCAGAACCAAAGAAGTTGACATAAGACACTGGTAATTTGATCTAGCTAGGATTATCTTGAGTCATGGTGATACAATTAAATTCACCTTTTGTCCTACACTTTGTATTTGGTTCTAATTTTTTCATGGCAGAATCAAATATACAAGTTTGAGTCTACATCAGATTCAAAATTATTTGCAGTTCTTTGGAGTTAGATCATATAATTTCAGATGGATTGAAGTGTTAGTTGATAAGATCTTATTTGTGTAAGAAATCTTATCTTATATGGAGCCTGTCATTTTGAAAGTGACTTTTTTTAACGTAGTATAAGTTAAACAAACCTCATTTGGTTAAAGTTAATTTAATTAATAAAAATGGTTTTCTGAAGATAGATTCAGCTCCCTCTCATTCCAATCCTCTTCCACATTCTTAATACATCTCACTTGTCTCTCTTCTATCCTCATAGCAAAGGGGCACTTTTGCCAAGAAATTAGAATCTTTTCCCACTCCTCTTCCACATTCTTAAAACATCTCACTTATTTCTCTTCTTTCCTCGTAGCAAAGGGGCACTTTTGCTATGAAATTAGAAAATTTTCCCATTTCATAATGCTCCCCATGTTATTAAGTTTAGATAATATATGGTTTAGGCCGAGGTGGCGAAAGGTAATAAAGTCAGAACTTTATACTAATGGTTCTATCTAGAAGTATCTATTCTTACTTTAATCTAATGACAACCGATATCATTCCTATCGGCTTGAATCTAATTTAATTTTAAGATAAACAGATCCTACTATATTTATGTAGTACGCTGTTTGCTCCCACATTCGAGGTGGGAAAGTCTTAAATTAATTTAAAAGAGGCTCATAGGGGTTCTGCTATTAAATTGAACTTAAGCATTTCGGGTAAATGGTTTAGGTTCAAAAAGTTAATGAGTCGGTTATCTCATTATACTAGGTCATGATAAAAACCCGACTTAGTATTGGCATAGTGATAAAAATCCGACTGGGTTGGTTATCTCATTATACTAGGTCATGATAAGAGGAAGAGAGGCTGGTGAGGGGTAACCTAAATTAAAAAAAAAAAGTTTAAAAGTTGTTGGTAAGCTCAATTTAATAGGCTTACCAAGTGGTAAGTGTAAGACGGAGTGTTTTGCATACCAGTTTATGCTCGAACCCCTAAATACTGATCTGCATGTAACAGTTCAGACAAAATGTAAACCTTGGTTTCAACAACTAATTGGAACATTTCAGTGAAATGCACAAAACTACATGCTTTATTGATTATATGATTCACACGATAAATAATTACATCATGGACCCTATATTTTCTGATGTCGTGATATCTTTCGTAGACATTTGTCAACCTTAAAATGATATTCCTGTAAAGTATTCCCCTTTGACCATTTGATACATTCATTACAGGCCTAATAATAAAAAGACTTTCTTTTTGTAGTTACAAACTTTTATGTCACTCTTTCCTTTCTTCTGTCTTAGTTCCTCTCCTGTCCCTCTCTTCTCCTCACTTCCATCATCCTCCACTCTGTTGGCTCCTTGTCATCCTCTTCTACCCATTGATCACAAAATTTATCCATTTTTTCCTGACGAGAGGAAATTCTTTTTTCATTCAGCTATGGATAATAGAAGTGTTTTTGTTTATAATAATGTCATGATAGATGGTGTTTATGAAATTTACCTGAGATACCATCGGTGTGCTAATTTGATTCAGTAGTATAGGCAAGTCTCTGTGACTTATGTTGAAGGTAGGATGTGGGATGTACGTGTAACTTGACCAGAAGGGTCAAAACAAGCAGGGAGTATCATCTGTTTAAGAAATTTTATCTAAAATTTAACTGTAGTGAATGTCTTTTTTGTTTTTGTTTTTGACAATTTGTACTATAAACTTTCAAAGTGATGCACATCAGAATCTGTTGGATGACTTTGTTGAACTTGTTTTGATCTGTATAAATTCTTGTTTACATGTTTCTCTAATATGCTCTCTGGATTATGAAAGTGAAAAAGTCTCCTTTCACCTTTCTGTGTCTTGTTTAAGTTTCTGTTTTTATGGCGTTGTATTGGAGGAAAATTGGTGCTTTGATTTCTCAACATTCTATAACAGAATGCACTTCTCTTTGTAATCATTGTTTCTTTCTTAGCTTATGGAGATTCTTTTATATTTGGCTTTTGTTCAGGAAAGTTTCAATGAGATGTCATATGCCCTCCCTGTTCACTTTTGATTGCCTTCAGTGTTCCTGATCTGCTGTTAGCATACTCGTTTAAATGCCTTTTTGCTGTCAGAATCTCTTAGCACTTGTTTGCCTGCCCAGCCTTCTTGTTCCTGAGGAACATAAACTGATTTCTGAGTTTATATATATATATATATATATATATATATATATATATATATATTTCATTTATATAAACTCAAGATTTCTTATAGGATCACGAAGATAGTTTTCTCCTTCATGCATTATTTTGCTGTCCCCGGTAATAGTTACTTTTCCAAAACATTTCATCTTGCTACCCTAGGATATATAGAAAACGCTGTTCTTAATATATCTTGTTTACATGTATGATTTTTCCACTAATAAGTGAAAATTATTATGAACGAGTCGGCACTAAGAGGAGAGGGTGAATTAGTGCAGCGAAAAAATTACCGGTTTTAAAAATCTTCGTTTCGATTAAATCCGATTCCGACGAAAATTGTTTCGTAAAGATATTAACTTGAAAGCGTATGGGAGCGTAGTGAAAGTAATAAGAATGTAAATCAGTTTGCATTCTTCTTCCGTCGAGATCACTGACTTTCACTAACAATATTTGAGCAAAGATCAACTATAACCCTTTTGACAGGTTCAGGAGTGACCTTTATAATCCCCTTCACTCCTCTCTTAAACAAGACTAACACTTAGAGTTTGAGAGGAGTTCACACAAGATTACAACAGCATTTTCTTTTCTTTTTAATCTCATGTGTGTGTGTTAACTAGGGATGAGAGGTGTCTTTATAGGTTTCAAGTGAATTAAAATTTGGAGTCTAAAAATGTCTCATCTCGGTTTTTCCGGGTCCTAGCAGTATCACCGCCTAATACCCTACCACTAGGCGATACCATCGCCTGATAGTCTCTCGAAGATTGTTTCGACGGTACTACCGCTTAACAAAGTCTCGGAGACTATATCACGATGGTTCCACCTGTTGGGTCACTGTTTGTACCTTTTCACTTGGCCCAACATAGCTCAAACTTGGGCCCAATTGGCCAATAATTGACTTGGCCCAATTTCAACCCAATTATATGCTAACTACGAATTTTAAGGCATACACTAAGCTAAATAAGTTCGGTAAGTCTGGGTTTCTTCTGGCGAGCTTTTGGCGAACTTCCGACGAACCTTCGACGATCTCTCGGCAATGTTCCAGCGGACTCCCAGCAAGCTCCTTGACTTCACAATGATCTTCTTGGCGAGTTCTGATGAGCTTCTTTGGTAAGCTCTTGGACTTCTCGGTCAATTCCGGCAGAACTTCATATGAACGTCCGGACTTCCGATGAATTCTCGAACTCCCAACGAAATCTCGTTCTCGACTCCGGAACTTCATTTTGCTTTATGCCTTGATTGCTACGTAGTTAATCCTGTACACTTAAAACCTACTTCGATCTAGACAATTATTACAAAGTTTGTCTGGCATGTCATTGGTTCATCGACGCTTCGTCCGATTCTTTGGCGCATCGTCCTCTCTTGCGGCCTATTGTCCAATCGGCCAGTTGACCTCCGCAACTCTGATTTTCTTAGTACAATTTTCGCTCTTCTTGGCCTGATGCCCGAACCCATGACTTGAAGCCTTTTGCCGATATGTCGATCGATTATTCAGCTCGACGTCCCATCTTCTGACATGTTTCTCTCCGGCCCAATATAATTTTTCTTGGTTTTAATTGTCTCTCCCTGATCGAAGCTTCTTGCATCACTCAAAATATAGATCAAATAATAAATACTATCAATTAGTTTCATCATCAAAATCCGAGATTCAACTTAAATATGTTAATGTTTAAACTTCAAAATGGCATTGTGGTTTTGGCACATGCTTCTGTAGAGAGAGAGAGAGAGAGAGAGAGAGAGAGATTACTAGTGTCCTCAAGAAAACATAAAAATGTAAAAAATCGACATATAAGCATATTGGATTCAAGCATTCATTTAAACCCATCAAATTAATATACTAATTATTCGTTCAGATCAGACAATGTAATTGATATCCAAACAGATCGATCATTGACTGTCTTGCGGATGAGATCAAAAGCACATCACATGACATTTTAGTTTAGTTCTCTAGAGGGGTGGAATCAAGTTACAAGTTAATTGAGTCTACTGCATTTGGAGTAATTTCACTCTCAGCATCTCTAACTCATTTGATTGTAGATTGGCTTTGTTAGAAGAAGTGTTTTCCCGAGTTTTATATATTTATCATTTGCATTTTATCTTGAATTGTCATCTATGTTTAATATTTATTAATAATCCTATGCCACAATTTCTCAAACCTTATAAACTCGACGCCCCCCACCCCCTCACCCGGCGACGGCCCGCCCCGGCCCATATAACAAGACGTGGTACTGTTGATTAGATAGCACAACGCGAACGAAGCCCACGAAGCTGCGGTCGAAACCTCTATCCCTCCCTTCCCTTCTGGTGCCTCTCCCACTCCCGCTCTGATTCTGTAAGCAAAGAGAGAAAGAGATCTCGGGAAGAATATCAGATCCGCAAGTGCTTTCGACCAATCCCCTGAATTTGATCTGAGAACCTCAGCGCTGCTATATCAAACCGTCGTCGTCGTCGTCGGCGGCAGCAGCAGCAGCAGCAGCGTCATCTCCGCCAGCAGATGCGGATCTTGCAGCTGGGTTTGCTGGTTGCTCTCGCGTCGAGTGTCGCCGCGATCCTCATCTACATCGTCGGACTCTCCAATCCCTGTGAGCCCTCGGTGCTCCGCCACTATAGTTTTCTAGTTCCTAGGGGGCTTGGGTCGGCGGATCTTCATGCCTTTATTCTTCTGTTCTTGTTCCTTTCTTCTTGTTCATTTCTCTTTGCTTCCTTTCTTTGTAGATGATAGGTTTACGGTTACGGATGATGATCGGAGCGCGTTGAGGGCACTGCAGAGTGGCTTTAAGAAATGCGTGGTGAGTGTTATACGTTTCTCCTTATTCATCTACAATATTTTTCTTATTCATCTACGATTACTGTGCGAATTAGTATACAAATTAAGTGGAATTTGACATTTCGAAAATGCAATATTTTCTATGCGTGTCTTCTATTCTTTTTTCCTTGGCTTGAACTTTCTAACTGCAAAAATGTAATATTGTCGTCCTGATTCTGAGATAGCGACAAAATTTTTATTGCTTGATATATAGGAAAGATGCAATTCTGCCTAGATTTTGCTTGATAGTGCTGGAGTTGACTGAGAATTTAGAAATTGTTGTTGAACTGCTAAAACATGTCTCAGATTGATATAACCGCTAAGTCTCAGATTGATGTAACGGCTAAAACTCAAAGTCTCAGATTGATATATCCGCTAAAATTCAAGTCTCAGATTGATGTAACTGCTAAAACTCAAGTCTCAGATTGATGTATCCACTAAAATTCAAGTCTCAGATTGATGTAACCACTAAAACTCAAGTCTCAGAGTGATGTTCATGAAGACAGTTGTATGAAGGTTGACACAAGCCTCTCTACTTATAATTATGCTATAGTATTTGAAGCAAGGATTGAAATTTCGTACCATATCGGTGTACCGAGCTTTGCTCGGTATGGTATGGTACAGCATACTGAGTGATACGCTAGGGTGTACTGAGTGGTATGCCTAAATAAATATATATAATTAATATATAAAAAATATAAAAATATAAAAATTAATATATAAAAATATAAAAAATAATATAAAAATATTTTAAAAAAGACGTATGCAGCCTCGGCGACGTCGCCTCCTTCTCCTCGTTGCTTCGTCTGTGGCATTCGGCAAAGAAGGCAGCAAAGATGTCGAAGGCCGTAGACGTCTCTGGCCTTCGGCGAAGGAGGTTGCAGAGTCGCAAACGAGGCGATGAAGGAGACTGCCTCTTCCGCTGCTCTAGTCGCCGCCTCCCCTGATCCCCACACCTCCAGATCCTCCTCTTTACGACTCGTCTCGTCGTTATCTCCTGGATCAGGATCGTCGAGGGAGGGTGGCATCGAATCGGGATCGAGAAAAGGCATGGAAACAAGTTCATGTCAAGGTTCTCCCAATTCTCCCTCTTCTTTGAACGCCCTCTCCTTCTTCTTCCTTCTTCGACGCTTCTCCCTTAACCTCGCCACAGCCAAGTCGCAGCCAAGCTGATACCACTCGGTAGCAGATGGTAACGGTCAAAATTTCGATCGTTACCGCCCGAAACAGCCCCATATCATCCGATACAGGGCTATATCGAGCGGACTGCTCAGTAACGAGCGGTTCGCATACCGGTTCACGGGTCGACTAGTAGGACAAAATTGTAAACGTCCGATATGGGGCTGTTTCGGGCGGACTGCCCGGTAGCGAGCGGTTCGCGTACCGGTTCACGAGCCGACTAGTAGGACAAAACTGTAAACATAGTATTTTATGTAATGCTCATGTATGTCCGTGTCTTTTGGTTTATTCATGCTTTGCACAACATGTAGAGGGACGGTTGACAGCTTAACAATCATAATTTAATTGGGTTTGGTGGCCATTTTAGGCTTGTAAATAAAGGTTGTGTCATATGGACACTTGTGTAAGATTTCGGTCTGTAGTGGATCATTTTGGATCCTTTGTTGTGCGACCATTTAGAGCTTGTAAAGTCTGTTTGTAATTTGCATTGGCTATGAAGTGTTTTTTGAAATGATTGCTTGTGAATCCCGAGTGAGGCGCTTTCTCTAACCCGTTTTCTCTTTTATAGGTCCTAAGGGATCATAGGAGGTATCGGGGAGGCTGACCTTTGCAGACGGACATGCAAGGGTGCCGCACAACTTAGGCAAAATTTTCTTGAAAATTCACTAATAGAAGCAAACAAAATTTCTTTTGTCTTCTAGAGATATAAATGTGATTAGACATTTTTTTTTACTCTGTATTCCACTGAGGTTGGATCATGGATGTTAGAACTAATTTTTATCCTTGTTGATGTTTCAAATAAGTTACAACACTAGGATTCTATGGTTTGAATGTATTTGTTTGTAAAAAACACACATTCATCGTGGATGGGCCCACTCCTAATATACCATTCAAATATTGTTATGTATGGATCTAGTCTCTTAGGAGATACAATAGCAACCTCTTCTCATGAAAATTATTAGTCTTCCATCTATTCTTTATGGTTTTTGGCCATGGATACAATAGATGAAAACTTCTCAGGCACAAGTAATTCTGTTGGTTGGATAGCTGCCACTGTACATCGAAAAACAATTTTAGTGATCCTCTATATGGGGTCAATTTATTTTATTAATTCTTGTGTTTCACCCATTATAGGATTGTGATATCGTTGGATGGAGAGAAATAGTTAATTATTGTTACATAAAGCATTATAATTCAGAATTGAGTGGAGGCAGAAAGAGCTTCATAATCTCAGCTGATGGCTGCTTAAGTTGTCATATTATTGTTGCAATCATAGTTGGTAATATAATGTTTGATGTCCAACCCTCTAAGTCTAAGCTATGTTAAGATAATAATCCATTAGATGACTAGCTACTATGTGCCTTTGCATGGCTGAATGGTTTTTCTGGCCACCATGCACAACAAAATCAATAATGAAAAAGCAAAATAGAAAAGGTATGGCTGACCATCCTATTCAACTAACACCATGCCAATTCAAATAACACATATTGTGCGATAGAATTGCTTGTGATACGTATCTATGCTAGGCCTGGTAGGTGCTATGGATGGGAAAAATTACAAGTTTTTGTCCTCCCTACATGTGAGACTACAATGATAGGTAAACACATTAAATTACATCAGTAAATATGAATGTGGAAGAGAAATTTCAAACCTTTCTCCAAGCATCATCCAAACAATAAGTGCTTATTACAAACTATCCTTCAGATGGCTTTTAGGCCAATACAACTTAAGCCTCCTTATGCTTCTAAGTGGTTTTTCGTAGCAACTCGTAGTACTTGTTGATATTAGTAAAATAGCAAACGAATATCTTAGAACAATTTGCAGATTCCTGTTATGTTCCATAACTGACCATTATCCTTTGAAAATGCAGGATGCTAAAGGTTTAGGATTGCAAGCTCTGATCAGCCAGGATTATTGTCATGTCACAATTCAGTACCCTAGAGATACAGTGCCAAAGTGGGTGAGTTTGTTTTCTGTATCCAATAATTGAAGTATTTCCTTCATCATCTTTAAACAAGTCGGGAACAAAATTCTGTACCATGTATGAAATATGATTGTGAAGCATTATACAACCTTAGTTGTTCTGCGATAGTCATTTCATTTAAGCAAGTCAAGAAATTGATCCATTAGGAGGTTGTCAAACTTGAAAGGACCATTCAAACTTTCCATCAATGAAACTTTTATTTTGTAAAATATGTTATATTTTTCTTTGTAAATTTTTCCAAGGGGCATGGTTCATTCAATTAGTTCTGTGAAGCTGTTGGTCTTCTTGTCTTACTTGCTCATCCTTGACAGTTTGCTAAACATTTTTGTGCATTTCATAATTTGTTTTTTGATAATAGATTGCTTGTTAAAGAAAAACTTGTTGAACTTTAAAGAATCATAAGAAGAAAAAATGCACTTGTATTTGAACTATTTTGGTCCACTACATGGATCCTTTCGTTCATCTATCGTATAACATCCTCCAGCAATCAAGGACCATTTTCTCATTCAACCATTTATTCTCTTCCTAAATCTGAGTTAACTATCTTACCTTACCTGTGCAAAGAAGCATGCTAGAACCATCTTTAAATTTTTACAGTTCTGTCTTCATATGGTGGTCTCCTTCTTGTCATGGAACCCAAGGAATCAGCCTATTTCTGATAGATAAACAGTTTTATCATTCTGTGTTTCATTTTCATGCCATTTATCCATCTTAGAGATCCTGTGTGACTTTCATATTTGTTCATAAATAATTTATAATTTAAAATTTAAAAGAACATATTTTAATGATGATTTTTAGAGGAATATAAATGAGCATATACATGATTTATTTGTTCATCTGAGCTGGTGTTATTTGATATTTTAGCTAGATTATTGAAATCCATCAGTATCTGATATATTTCTAAAACATTGTTATAGAGAGATCCGAAAACTGGAGAACTTGAAGGCTTATCATTTGATTTCAACCTTTGTGAAGCAGTTGCTACATGGGAGCAGGTGAATTTGTTGTTTTTGTCAAAAGTAGAGCATCAGAAATTGTTCATCATCCAAGAGAATAAACAAATTATGCTTTTCTGTGATCCACTCAATAATACTTGGTAACAAGGTTTTGGATCTCAATTCAGTACTGGTCCTGCTTATTGATCGGAATGGTACCATACCATACCATACCATACCAACATTCCTATGAATTAATATGTGCAGGTACCAACCAGATTGGCTGTGTCTAGTTTCTGACACACTCAAACCCTCTTAAACTCGATTTTTCATATAATTCTTTGATAATGAATCAACACGTATGAAAAATCTATTATGAACCATTTTTGAAAAATACAATTCTGAAAATGTTAATATTAGCACATGATATACTGACCCAGGTTAGATTCATGCTGATGTAGCTTATATCCATGCAGGGTTAATCTGGATTTGTTGATCTTAGCCAGATTCATACAAATATAGCCTATGTATATCTGATCTAGCTTAGATCTACTTGAATGTAGGTTGGGTCTGAAAGGGTCCTGCTTGGATCCATGGTACCCTAGGTCAAATCTACTCTAGATCTATGCAACTGGGATACATATGCATTTTGGCTAGATCTACATAGACCTGATTTAAATTTAAGTGTATCTATGCTAGATTATCATGGATTCGTCAACCATCCTTGTTTAAATAAGATATGTAAGGAAAACAATATATAGATCTAGAGAAGCAAGCAATATCAATCCAAGCATGAATAACACAAAAAAAACACGAATCAAGGCATTAAAAAATCAAATAAGTGGAGAAAAAGCTCAAGTCAAAGATTTTATACCTTAGTTTGGTGTAAAAGGCCTCATTTCCTTGAGATTGAAACTTGAAATCTTTGGGAAAGAAAGCTTCCCAAGAAGAGAACCAACTGTTTTTTACAACTCAAAATGAGGAGCGAAAAGCATGCTATTGTTTGAATGAAAAGTTATAGGGGCTGCTGACCACCTAGTAACAGAGGATCCAAAATGAAAACCAGAAAGTTTGATTAATATTCATGTTTTACTGGGCAGCATGCCCGATATGAACTAGAGTACCGCTTTGTAAGGGGTGGTCCAAATGCCGATGTTAGCTCTGTCAGTAATTACCAACAGCATTAAAAACCTTTCTAGGAAGTTTAAAAATGAAATCAATATATTATAGTTTAGACATGCTGGAAATCCTGTAGGGTATATGTATTTCAGTTCTACTAGGCTTTGTTTTTCCCTTACCTGGATATATCATCTATTGTGTGTGGTCGAGCTGATAATGGTTTTAGGTATAATGACCTGTGGACAATTTGCTTGATTCTGGTTCAAATAAATACTTGATAACTTTTTTGTAGGTTCGCAATAGTTCTTCCATACTCACAAAAGAGTTTATTGATGCTTTGCCAAACGGATGGGAGGAATATGCATGGCGCAGGATCAACAAAGGAATACAACTGTGAGTTCAATTTGTCCAGCTTGATTCAGCTAAAAAAGCTGTGTTATAGTACATTCTTCATCTTTTCGCCTGTATTAGGTGCTCCAATTGAGGAAAACTTTATTTCAAGAAATTGCTAATGATCACACAAGTGGAACCTTCTCATTTTCTGTTCTAGTGATCGGTGCAAGAATAGGACATTATGCATGGAAAAACTTTCTTTAGTACTTCCAGAAACACCACCTTTTGTGCCCAAGCAATTTGGACGATGTGCTGTTGTTGGTAACTCTGGGGATCTTCTAAAAACAAATATTGGAAAAGAAATAGATGGCTATGATGCTGTTGTTAGAGAAAATGGAGCTCCCATCCAGGTTTAATGAATACTTCTCCTACTTTGTCACAGTGGTATGTACTTCTCTTATTAGAAGTTTTTCTTTCCCCTCTCCAATATCTCAGAACTACACAAAATATGTTGGTCGGAAAAGTACATTTCGCCTTCTTAATAGAGGATCTGCTAAGGCACTTGACAAAGTTGTAGAATTAGATGGTATGAAATCTGCACCTTTTTTCATGTGTATCTCATTTTATATGTAAATCACTGTGAGTTTTGCATATTGCAGAAACTAAGAGGGAGGTGCTGATCATCAAAACCACTATTCATGACATCATGAATAAAATGATCCGGGTAACTATATCATCCTAAAAATAACTTTGACGTAAATTGTTTTTTCTTTAGAACAGATGCATCTTATTATGCTAGGCATGTTCGTAGCAAGCTAACCTGGTAGCTACAGTATATGAATTAAGGTTTCCAATTTTAGGTACCAAACTGGTGTTGGTCCATGGCCATATTGGTACAGGTCTAGTCCATTCCAGCATATCGGCAGTAGAATGGAATGTATCATGGTACCCATCAGCTGGGGCAGGGAGAGGGTGGGAGGAAGAAGGAAGAGGAAGAAGAGGAGGAAGGGCGATGGATGAAGAGGAGGAAATTAAGAAGAGAATTGGTAGCCAAGAGGGAGGCAATGGGTGGATGGGTGCCGTGGTAAGGCAATGATGCTTAAGCTAGGGAGGCTCACGTTTGGCAAGCCCTAATGGGCATCGGCATTAATAAAAGTTCTTTATTTTCCTTTAAATTGGACCGGACCAGCCGAAATGTGGCGGTCCACATACTGGTTCATGCCCAGTCTGGCTGGTATGGTCGGCCTGGGAAAAATTAAAGTCCTTAAAATGAATCCTTGTATCCTCATGAACCATTTATTATTTGCCATAAATATATTTTCTTTCTGGATAATTCGTTTCTTAAAATGTCATTCATAATAGTGATATTTCTTGTTCTCACCTTACTTGTTACTTGGTTCTTCTATTGCATCAAATGCAAAAAGTTGTGTTTTTATCATTGTCAATTCCTTGGCATGTGCCAGCCATCCTTGATGCTTTGAGAAACAGCCTCAATTTCACTTAAATCATTATTTGTTTATTTTTTACTGTCTCTCAATTTAGCTACTGTTGTTTATATGTACTTTGATAGAGGATCCTAAAACTAACTAAACAAAAGGGATCATTGATGGATAGGAAATATTTTTCTACACAAAATAAGAACTTTACTGTAAGCTTCAACAAGAAGTCCAAAAGGAAAAATGACACTAAGACGCAAGATTCATTGACTACAACATTGGCTTATTTGTTTTTACATTATATTATATGTATATGTCCAAAATTATAAATGCCAAAGTACCTGGACATTTATTTACAATTCCAAACAATGATTTTGATCCTCCAAGGACATTTGCTCTGCCCTAAGTATTAGTCACTCATGAAGATGACCTTTTTATTTGGTTAGCAACATAAAACCTTCATACAAGATATAGTTTCAAAGTCGGAAGCTGATATCTCTAAGTGACCACACCTGTACAGACGGGAAGAGCAATATGAGGTCTTATTATAATAACACATACTGTAGATCTGGCTTCACAAAATATGACCCTTTAAAATTGATTATGGATTAGTATAATGGGAGTGAATCTCCTATATGATGAGATTGAAATTACGTTTGCAGTTGACAATGACTTCATTGAAGTATATCTTGTAAAATTTTAGTACCTTCTTATTATAGTAATAAGGTCCTCCCTTTCATCACAAAAATGGTACCACTACCTCTTTCATCACAAAATGGAACTGGAGAATATTAACAAAATTGGCTTTTTTTAAGATATCATAACATGTGTCTCACCTGGCTAAAAGCATCACTAGGCTTGTCAGTTTGAGTTCCATGACAAGTTAGGGTTAACTAGGTCCAAATTGGCAAATTATTTTAAATAGTGATAATACACAATCGAGTTGGTGTTACAAAAATTTTAAACCTTTGATTAGTGGTGATGAGCACTCTTTCCAAATAGGCTTTCTCACAAACAAAGCTATGTTTATGAAACACGCTTTTCTTGTAAATAATTAAGCAATACATGACAAGAGTTTGGGTTTTATTACCGAGCATTGGATATATCCTTCTAAATAAGTGATCCATTCTTACCAATATTCAATTCCTTTGGAATGTAGAGAAACCATGTATCTTAAGCAAAATGTATCACTGCAACCACAGATTTTATGATAGCAGATGAGGCACTTGTGGAATCCAATAATTATAAACATCTAAAAAAAAAAGGAAGAATAAGTTTTTCGTCTTTATTCATATGATGAAGAAAGATTTTCCTTATGACTAATCTTCAGATATACTAGATCTATGTTAACCTTTTTTACTTTCTGCGTGTACTATGGTTGAACACATTTATTTATTGACAGGAAATGAAATTTTGTAAGCATAACTCACCTCGTGATAAAGCCTCTAATTGGAGAGTGCTTATCAACATCAGCCGGATGAAGATTTTTCTAACACCAAGTAGACATACCATCACTTTTTTTTATCATGTAGTTCTTTAAGTTTCTCCTAGGATTTTTATATAGTTAATACATGTAAATCAATTAAATAAGTGGATAATACTTTTGCATCTTGCATAAGGAAAGACTCCTCAAGGGAAGCTTCAAGTTGTAGAGGCAATGGCATCAATCAAAATGTCTTTTCCCTAGGGGAATTGGGAGGTTCCACAAGATATGCTTACCGTTCTGCTTCTCCTTCCCCTCATCAAGTTCTCGATAACTGTTGAGAACTCTTCAAGTGGGTTTGCCCTTGAGGTCAAATTTCAACAGCAATTCATCACTCCCTTCCATGACTTGGAAAGTAGTGTTAAGGATAGCCTTACATCCTGATAGAAAAGTGTTATGATCTAATTCTCCTTTGAAGAAGACTCACTCTATCGCGATGTCACGAACGGTCGTCGCGTACTCGCAACAACTTCGTTCAATGAACCGTTCGTCGTTTTTGCATGCTTGAACAGAGACATGACAGCCTATTTTGCTTGTGTTTTTGCTTGTAAAAATATATGTTTGAATAGGTTGTAGTGCACAGTGCGACCGCTCACCGCGCCGGGCCAAAAAGCCCTAAAATGGCTCCGTTTTCGCGTACCGCTGGCTGTTTTCTGCAGCCCACTGTAGCGTCCGAAATGTCAGCCATCTCAGCACCCTGGAACCCCCCGGGTGGCACAGGGCTGGATGGGGCTTCGGTATATTGTTGGGCGTCGAACAATCTTCACAAGTTCGTACGTTTTCTTGATGGGAACTTGCCTTCACGCCCGGCACCCGGTGAGCAGCTGTTTGTGGACTTGCAGTTGTTCGTTCAACTTTCTAAAGTCCTTGTTTTCCTCATTTCTCTGTTTTCTCTCATGCACGCAAGGTGCTCGCTGAATTGCTTGTAAAGCTTCCCTCTTCGCGAGACGTCGAGACTTGTCCATCACTCGTTTTTTGAAATAATCAACTTTCTCTTTTACAGGTCCTTCGGGACCTGAGTGAGGTTGCAAATTGGTTGACCTTTGCGGACGCATATCGCAAGGGCGCGTCAAGACTTAGGCAATCCCAGCTAAGTCCGAGAAGTTGGCCCAAGGGTGCTTCGCGACTTAGGGAACACAATCTAAGTTCGCGTCTTGGCTGCAAGGGTGCCTCACGACTTAGGCAATTCTAGCTAAGTCCGTGACATTGTGGTATCAGAGTGGGTAAGCAATTCGAGTAAGCAGCGAAGGAACTTCACAATTTCGCCATGACAAAGCATTGTGGCGAATCAAGCAGGGCGGGGCAAACTTGACCTTTGCCCCAAGCAGCCACAGGTGGGCTGCAAATGCAAACTCGCTCTTATGTCGTTGGAGCCGTTTTGGAGGATCGTGGCAGCGAACATGATGAGCGAGAAATTGGCTACTCTCCGCTAGCGGAGGAGGCGCAATCTGGAGCGCCAATCGTGAAGAAGAGCCATAAGGAGAGACTCATAGCGGTGGAAACTCGCTTGGATGTTCTTGAAGCGAGCTTGGAGGAACTCTACCAAGGCCAACAAAGGCTTCTTTGGGTAGAGAGCTCGCAAGAAGAAGCTGAATCCCGAATCGACAAGGTTAAGGCCTTATTGATCGACTGTCGAACGACACCAAAGACTCCGTGCAACATCTGCAGGAAGTCGTGGCAGAACTTACTTCCAGGGTGACTATGCTCACAAGGGCACTGAATGCGAGAGGAAGAAATACCCACGTTGCGCCGCCACAAAACTTAAGGGCTCCCGAGCCGCATTGTTATGAAGGTGCTCAAGATGCCAAAGAGATTGAGAATTTCCTGTTCGACATAGAACAATACTTTCGAGCTACGAGGCCTGATTCTGAAGAAACCAAAGTTTTGATAGCAACCATGTATTTGAATGGGGATGCAAAACTTTGGTGGCGAACCCGTTGGGAGGAGATCCAACAAGGTCGGTGTCGGGTGAACACATAAGAGGACTTAAAGCGATAGTTGAGAACTCAGTTTCTGCTCGAGAACACAGAGTTCGTCGTAAGGAGGAAGTTGAGACAACTCCGCCAAAGTACTTCCATCTATGACTATGTGAAGCAATTTTTTGTGCTAATGTTGGACATACAGGACATGTCCGAGAAGGATAAGCTATTCAGCTTCCTCGATGGTTTGAAGCCATGGGCTCAACAAGAACTGCATCGAAGGAATGTCTCCGATGTGATCGGGGCAATTGTTGCCGCAGAAAAGCTCACCGACTTTGTTTCCTCTGAGGACCCGGGAAAAAGAAGGCAATCTTCAGGAAACCGCCCTCCAAAATATTCTCGAGGGAAGGAGCCCGGAGGCGAACAGAGGAAGAAGAGTTCCCACAAAGGGCCAAGCTCATAAGGTAAGGCCCCGAAACCTGGCGGATGCTTCTTGTGCGGAGGGCTGCACATAGTGAGGGAGTGCCCACAGAAACATGCACTCAATGCTTTAACAACTTCCATCCATCCCCCTAAATCAAACAAGGACAAAGCCGTCGCCCTTAGTTCAAGCAGTTCAGAATCTAGCAGCGACGATGAGGAGTCGTAGGGTCCCCGAATGAGAGCAATGCGTTTATTAAATGCATTGGGGGGTCAAGTGGGGGAGAACATGAAGGAAAAGCCATTGAAAGCAGGGAGTAGTGAGCTGATGTATGTGGACATTAAGCTCAATGGCCAAACAACCCGTGCAATGGTGGATACGGGCGCTACCCATAACTTTATTGCTGATCGAGAAGCAAAAGCGACTTAGGCTGATATTGGAGAAGAACCCAAGTCGAATGAAGGC